CCCCCACAGATACATCGAGTCCCTGTACCCCAACCCTCCCCTCAAATCCAACTACGACGGCCCAGCTGTTGAAGCAACTGGCGGAGTCTTCGGGGGCTTGGCCAAGCTGCTCTTTTTCAAAAACAAAGACGAGATTCCACAACTGAAGGTACAGTTCAATTATTTTATATGGTTCATCATCATCATCATCCGGTGCCTTGCCGACTGGCGTCTGCGATCATGAACCTCCACTTCAGTCTGTCTTGTGTTGCAGCAATGGTGTCTGTTGTTCTTGCTGTTCCCAGCCATGTTGTCAACTTGTCCAGTATCTTTTGTTTTCCCTCTGTCTGCCTCGTAAAAAGTATACAATGAAATTGTTCCCGCATCCGATCCGGACATTGGGGATTGCCTTGTTGGTGAGACAACTTCCTGGGCCTTCGGCATATTGTGGTAGGGTGACCAGTTCCTTTCCACGCCGCCTTTACTTCCTCAACTCGAAGTCAGGTACCCATTACTGCTGGGCGGGCAGGAGGGGGCGAAAAAAAATCCGTATCCGAACCGAGGCTCGAACCCGGACTTTCCGCTTCTGATAATATTAATATACTACTACATTTATTTTGCACGGGAGACAAGATGGTCACGGCCACGTCGACGTACGAGCAACAGCACACAACCTGATTTCTTCATTTCTTCTGTCTGTCGACACTTCCAGGAAAACCTGATTTCTTCATTTCTTCTGTCTGTCGACACTTCCAGGAAAACCTGATTTCTTCATTTCTTCTCTCTGTCGACACTTCCAGGAAAACCTGATTTCTTCATTTCTTCTGTCTGTTGTATCTTCCAGGAAAACCTGATTTCTTCATTTCTTCTGTCTGTTGTATCTTCCAGGAAAACCTGATTTCTTCATTTCTTCTGTCTGTTGTATCTTCCAGGAAAACCTGATTTCTTCATTTCTTCTGTCTGTTGTATCTTCCAGGAAAACCTGATTTCTTCATTTCTTCTGTCTGTTGTATCTTCCAGGAAAACCTGATTTCTTCTGTCTGTTGTATCTTCCAGGAAAACCTGATTTCTTCAGTCTGTCGTCGTCACTTCCAGGAAAACCTGATTTCTTCATTTCTTCTGTCTGTTGTATCTTCCAGGAAAACCTGATTTCTTCATTTCTTCTGTCTGTTGTATCTTCCAGGAAAACCTGATTTCTTCATTTCTTCTGTCTGTTGTATCTTCCAGGAAAATCTGATTTCTTCATTTCTTCTGTCTGTTGTATCTTCCAGGAAAACCTGATTTCTTCATTTCTTCTGTCTGTTGTATCTTCCAGGAAAACCTGATTTCTTCTGTCTGTTGTATCTTCCAGGAAAACCTGATTTCTTCCGTCTGTTGTCGTCACTTCCAGGAAAACCTGATTTCTTCATTTCTTCAGTCTGTCGTCGTCACTTCCAGGACAACCTGATTTCTTCATTTCTTCTGTCTGTTGTATCTTCCAGGAAAACCTGATTTCTTCATTTCTTCAGTCTGTCGTCGTCACTTCCAGGACAACCTGATTTCTTCATTTCTTTTGTCTGTTGTATCTTCCAGGAAAACCTGATTTCTTCATTTCTTCCGTCTGTTGTCGTCACTTCCAGGACAACCTGATTTCTTGGCCATCTCCTACTCCTCTTCCTCCTTTCATGCTTTTATTTTTTCCTACCTTACAACGACACTGTCCAGCCATAACACTGTCCAACCATGACACTGTCCAACCATGACACTGTCCGACCATGACACTGTCCAACCATGACACTGTCCAACCATGACACTGTCCAACCATAACACTGTCCAACCATGACACTGTCCAACCATGACACTGTCCAACCATGACACTGTCCAACCATGACACTGTCCAACCATGACACTGTCCAACCATAACACTGTCCAACCATGACACTGTCCAACCATGACACTGTCCTACCATAACGACACTGTCCAACCCAAGACGCCCACATATCTAATTAAACTAATTTGATCCCTTTTTTACCTTTACAATGGGTGGCCGTTTTGGACAAATTCATGTGGATTTCCTAACATTAACATCCATTTCATTTCTTCCTTCTGTTGTCATGTCTTCCAGGAGAACCTAATTTATTCATTTCTTCCTTCTTTATGTCGTGTCTTCCAAGAAAACCTGATTTTTTCATTTTTTCTTTCTGTCGTGTCTTCCAGGCAAACCTGACGGCCGAGCTGAAGAAGGTGGACGATTACCTCAAGTCTGACGCCAGGAAGGGCAAGTATCTGCTGGACAACGAGTTCAGGGAGCTGGACTGTATGCTGGTGCCCCGTCTGCGTCATGTCGAGGTGAGTGGACGGGAGGTGGGGGTGGGGGTGGGGTGGGGTGGGGGGAGTAGGACTGTATGTTGCTTCTCTGTCTACGTCATGTAGAGGTGAGTGGACGGGAGGGGTGTGTGAGTGGGGGTGGGGTGTGTGTGTGGGGTGTGTGTAGTGTATGTGTGGGGCGGGGTGAGGGGAGTAGGACTGTATGTTGGTTCTCTGTCTACGTCATGTAGAGGTGAGTGGACGGGAGTGGTGGTTGACAGGAGGGGTGGGGGTGTGTGTAGGCATGTCATGTGGAGATCAGTTGACAGGAGGGGTGGGGGTGTGTGTAGGCATGTCATGTGGAGATCAGTTGACAGGAGGGTTGGGGGTGTGTGTAGGCATGTCATGTGGAGATCAGTTGACAGGAGGGGTGGGGGGAAGTTGGGACGAACGTTCCTTATTATGTTGTGGACAATTGGTCGCTTTTACGCACAAGGGGGCTAGATTCTATCCCGAAAAATGCTGTTTTAGTTTTGTGAGAAAATCAAAGGTAAAGTTTTTGCCCCTTGTTCAGTTTCTTTAAGAGACAAGGAGAGTTTTCTCTGTAACCAAACAAATATACACACCAATGAAACCAAATTTCTCCTTTTGGTGTAGGAAAACCCCGAAATCTGGGTTAGCCTGCTTGCCCTTAAAAGCGACCCAATATCCCCATAAACAGCATATATCTATACACGTTCAAACAACTTCACAACACGTCACTAGTATAGTCGGATCTTCTCTAAAGTCTGCCAAAGATCGTTTTGGACAAATGAGTGTGGATTTCCTAACATTAACATCCAAGTTTAGGGCAAACGCTCAAACAGTATTTTCACAACTATTCAGTATCTTCGAATTACAAATTTTTATCTGATATTTTTGGCCATTTTAAGTTACTAAGACCATGAGGTGAGAAACCAAATGCTCTGTCACGAAGGAGGATGTTCGCCACAGGTTCCCCGGCCTCCATAGAGCTCTGGACCTCTCTGTCTAAGGTTTGGGCTATACAGTATAACACGGATAGGTCGAACACAGAAGACTCGAAATCAGACATCTGTCGAACTGTGCTTACGGTTCTGGGTTTCTTTTCTTCTTCTTCTTTATAAGATATCCCTCGAACTACAACTACAGATCCTTCAAACTACCCAGGTCGGTCCCGACAAATCTGAGCAATCTGTGTTATAAGTTATACTGTATTTCTTTCTAGTCCGATGATATGATTACAATCATTTCCTCCCCCCCCCACCCCCGTCCAGATCGCCGGCAAGTACTTCCACAACTACGAGATCCCCAGCGAGCTGACAGCGCTGACAGAGTACAACAGAGTGGGCCAGGCCGCGCAGATCTACCAGACCATCATCCCCACGGACGAGGACATCGTCAAGAGCTGGACCAGACATGGCGTCCAGAGAGCCGTCTAAGTGCAACGGAATGTCGCTGGAAATTGTAGACCACAATTTAATTTAATTTGTACATATTATTATTATACACCACTCGGGGCATTTGTGACGAGCAATCGGACACACAAACATGGCGTCCAGAGGGCCGTCTTAGAGCAGCAAAATGTCTCTCTGGAAATTGTCGACCACAATCAGAATTGTACACCTCTCTAGTCGTTCGTCATACACCATCGGACACACAAACCAACATGGCGTACAGAGGGCTGTTTAAGTTTAAGATCAAAATGTCGTTGGAATATGTAGACCACACAGTTATAATTGTACACCACTCGAGTCGTATGTGATGAGTCGAGAGGGCTGTTTAAGTTTAGTAGTAGTAGTAGTATAGGGTTTTACGGCGCTCGCAACTGCTAAGGTCATATGAGCGGGGTTTAAGTTTAAGATCAAAATGTCGAAGGAAATTGTAGACCACAGTTATAATAAAATTGTACAATTCTCTCCAATTATAGGAAACAATTTGTAATCAGCGCAGACGAAGTTTGAGAATTGTATATACGGTACATTTTATTATTATTATTCAGTAGTCATAGCTTTTGTTTTCTTTCTAAAATTGGACCAATGATCTTTCTATCAACTATTGTTATGAACAAGTTGCAACTACTGGTTTTGCTAAGGAAATAAACATTTTCTTGGAATGTACCACACGTGTTTTCTGGTGTTTTAGAAAATATAGAAGTTTTGGTTGTTCCTGGGTGGGGCGGGGGGAGGTTGTGTGTGCGATTAGAGAGAAAGTATGACAAAAGCCTGTTGGGTGCCGTCTGAGACGTAGCGTGTTCACACCTTTAGGAAGCTTAGTTACAGTAAGAGTTTTACGGCGCTCGCAACATAATAAGGTCATATAGGCGCCGAAGATTAGGTGTTACAAGAGATTAACAAACACAAAAAAGAAGGAGGAGAGATAAGGAGGATAGATGTTTGACAGGAAAGAAGGAGCAAACCACACCGGAGCACCCACCAACCACCCACAAATAGGGAAGCGGGCATGGTAAGCGATCAGAGGTGTATGCAATGTTGAATAATATATGGTATATTATGATCCATTCTTCTTTCAATGAAGGTGTTTTGTGCCCTCAGCGACACAATTTAGATCGTTCAGTAGTAGGTGGCAAGCTTCGATCCTTCGTGTCAGAGACAACCTGGGCTGAGAGGGACGCAACATCTGAGCAGTAGACGGAGATACACGTCTTTGGGGCAAAAAACTGTCTGTGTTTGTGTTGTCTTAGATAATCAAGTCATGACTACACATGTAGTAAATTTTAACCCGCAATGCATCTAAGATGATTTGTTAAAGACATATAAATTATAACTGTTGCTCTAAAAAAGAACAACTCAAAACCAAACTCAGAGAATTTGACAAAAAGTGATTTAAAAAAATGGAAACCCGGATATAAAACAAATAAAAGTTTATTGAAATAAGATGAAGAAAGACAAAAGCGTAATTCATGCAATTGTCATAGGACAAAAGAACAACAACAACAATATTTGACATTGTGCAGGCAAATAATAAACAGCAAGAAACTACAGTAAAATCATGGTACACCAGGGGTGAGGAGGAAAGGGGATGGAATAGAAATTCTCTTTGGGCCTGAATGCTTACGTTATTTTGTTGAAAAGAAAAAGTTAAAAACCCCACAAGACATAAACTACTCTGTCCAGGAAATTTTTTGAGGAAAAACTGTAAAAAATAATGTCCGAAATCAAACAGCATGTACTAAAGAATTTTGTAAAGCAGGTTGGATTGATCGCAGTGGTGAAGTTTTTCATCAGTTTGCTAAAGTTGGGGGTTTAGTGCTTAGCCTGCTGGACTCCTGGTTCATCATAACATTCTAGTGACTATTGTCTTCTCGACAAAAAAGTCTGTTTATGTTTACCTGAGACAATCATTTTACACATGAAGAAAGTCAGCGGATATTATTAAGGGGGGTAACTTTACTTTAAAAAGAAACAACTTATAAAATGATTATTTTTTTATGGGCCACATATCATAACTGTTTTTGTTGGAAGAACAACTAGTGTCGTCAGACTTTAAAAATTTGATTAAAGTGATTTAAAAATGAAAACACGAAAATGAGACAAAATAACTCAGCTGAAATACGATGAAGAAAGATAAGAGAAATGCATGCTATACATTTAGAACATATTTACAAATTAACTTTGTCATTGCACGGAAATACAGACAATATTGCAGAAATATCAATGCAAAACGGTGAAGTAAAAATCATGGAATAATTAGAATAAGAAAGAAAGGGGGGGGAGGGGGAAGGAGGGGGAGTCGAAGTCCTCTGTAGGCCTATTCATTTTTTCCAAAAAGATAAGCTACTCTATCGGGGAAGATTCCAAGAATCTGTGTTAGTTCTAAGAAAGAGATGAACCTAAGCCAGATGATCATGATATAACAATTATTACATGTTTTATAGTGAATGTTCTGACTTTGCTGTTGAAGGAAGTGGGAAAAGACAGTATACAATAGTATGTGCTAGTACTACTAATGTTTACAATGTGAACGAAATGAGACAGTTTTCTTTGGTCGAGGAATAAGAACAAACCAATACAGGTGGGGGAAAAAACCTACCCTGTGGTTTGGTCTGTCGAGATTAAAAGAAAAACATACTACAAAATGTACATGTATTACTTTGGCTGATTGGAGGAATAAACTGGGGTT